ATTTTTAACAGCAAAGTTTTAACATGATAAATATTCACTGACATTGTAACTTTACATAAACAATGTATCACTTTTTTCTTACTGCAAAGTGCGAAACGAAACGAAATGAAATGGTTTCGCAATTTACAGATTTAGTTGAGAAACTGTAAACTGCGAAACGAAACCTTTTTGCAGTAAGCCTCACTGTTCAATACTCCATTTTCGGGTTCAAAGCGGATATTGTCAGCACATCAGGGAAAGGCCATCGATCCTCTTAAAGACATCATTTTGACTACAATGAATGTGATCTCTGTTATGGTGTACGGTGAACGTTACGAGATGAACAATCGAGAATTCCAGACAATTTTGGACGAGACGTGGAAGCTTAATGACTTGCTTAGTCGAGTTTCCATTCTAGATTTCTTACCATTCTTGATTCATTTCCCGATCAAAGATTCGAAACTTGCCAAGACTATTTATTTGTCAGCGAAGAGCAGGCTGACCAGGAAGTACCAGGAACACCAGCAAACCTACCAAGACGGAATAACGCGTGATCTGACCGATGCCTTAATCAAAGCTTTAAAGGAAACCAAGGAAGATCAAAAGAAAACTCCCGAAGTGATGACTGAAGACCACATTCTCATGACGATGGGGGACGCGTTTACAGCTGGTATCGAATCTACAACATCATCAATCCTTTGGTATATTATCTTAATGATAAGACACCCTGATGTSCAAGCTAAAGTCCACTCTGAACTGGACAGAGTCGTTGGTCGGGATAAGTTCCCGAGTTGGGAAGAAAGAAACTCCTTGCCCTACACCTGTGCAAGTATTGAAGAGATGCATCGTTTTACCGGTTTTTTTTTTACCATTTTAATTAATGCATGGGCAATGCATTTTGACGAGAAGGAATGGAATGATCCACAATATTTCAAACCCGAGAGATTCCTAGATACAGAAGGCAAATTGATCCAAGTTTCTAAATTGAAGAGCTTTCTTCCCTTCGGCACTGGCCGCCGTGTTTGTGTGGGCGAGGCGTTCGCCAAGCAAGAGTTGTTTCTCATTATTACTAGATTGATGTATCAGTTTGAAGTAGAAGCAGAAATTCCTGGATCCCCACCATCCATGGAAGGTCAGATAAAGGTCGCTTATTCMCCGAAACCCTTTAAAGTTATTTTAAAGCAACGCCCAAAGTCAGCAATGGATTATAATTAACTAATGCGACGCAAAACCTCTCGAAGTGGGTACAATTGCAGTGGTGTTCATTTGTATTGTGGCGCAAGCCTAAAACAACTATGGAGGTAATGTTAGGTGCCGCTGTTACGGATGTGAAAATGGTCACAGAATTAAGCACACTAGCTGCTTGATCATCCTTAATGCTACACAGATACAATCAACTAGATCGATGTAACTTTGAACTTTTGTTATTTATTGACGCGTGTTCGTAATGAATTTGATACGACGAACATTATTTACAATTTGAATGGAATATAGTCCATACATTTACCTTCAAATAAAAGTGTTATGTATCATTGAGGACTAATCACGCCTCAAGCTTCAATTCAAATAGTTCTGTGGTTATTACTTTAGAGCGACGCTGGGCTCAATGAGCTAATCAAATTGACACAGAATCTTTCAGAAGTCGTTACGTTTTTAGCTTGTTTTCAGTCTATTTAAATATACCAGTACATAATCCTATGAAATACCGCAGCTCTGATAGACCAGTTTGTTCCTTAGAGCTGAAATAAAAACAAGGTGATGAGCAAAGAAAATACACCACGTATTGGCGTTCAGCRTCTTTTTGTAGAACTAATATTGAGATGTAAACATGATTGCCTATTGTAGGGGGTTGSGGMGAATAAAGCTGAATTACGAGTMGATAAAAACTGGAAATAAAAATTGCATTTGTCAGGATCTAAATTTCAAAATTTTCCAGGGGAGCAGGCCTCCGAAACCCCTTGTTCCATCCCTTTTCCGCTGAGGGATTTAGTACTTCTCGCCCCCTACCTTTCGTAAATTGCTGGATCCACCCCTGTATTGTTTTCCAAGAAAACACTGAAACAAATTGTATACCTGACGGGAAAATAGTGTGGATAACAAAGTATTGAAGGCTTTCCCAAATCCCTGGAAATTTGACGGTAGCTCAACTCTCGATGTGCAGGATTGACTTTATCCATCTTTGTGATTGCAATCTTTAAGAGAGGTCAATCAAAACTTTAATACAGATATTGTTATTGATATTTTCATCATCATCAGCATCACTACATRGACGTACATGATATGGGGCATCCATTTCCTCTAGCATCTCGACAGCTATAAGATCATTTTTCTTGATTCCAACTTTACCATCCACAAGGAGACAAACGCTTTTTAACCTTTCGTATGATTAATAACAATTGATTAATAAACACTAATATTGTTAGTCCCTAAGAAAGATAGCATAGCAGGAATCAACCTTGCACCACTACGTTTTGCTTCTTGGCTCCTGTTTTGAGGCGCAATGGAGTCAGGAATATTGAACACTGATCAGTGGCGAAGAAGTTTTAGAAAATGTGTTGTGCGTTCAAAGAGAGTGTATCTATCTGGAGACTCTTATGCATATAACGCTAAGCGTTTCACTCATGATAACATAGCGGAACTGCGTCTGTGAAACAGGGGGGAACCGCAAAAACAGAGTACAGGTAAAGCGATTGATTGGCCACCGTCGAGAATATTTTCCTTCTTCCCCACCGTGGATTTTACAATGCACTATTCGTACTTACTGTTTTCCTGATCTTTGTTTTAAATAATTCTCAACAACACGAACAAAATGTCGACTTCCATGCCCTAGACGTTCTACATAACCATATCCCGGGAGATCAACAACATAGAACTTTGCACCCACATTAAAGAAATTAATGAGTCTTGTATGGCCCTGAGAGAGAGACAACATTAACAAAGGCGCTTGGCTTAATACGGACCACTTTGTTGTGATTAGAACGATTCAGTTTCGCTAAAAGTATCTTTGTAATGGTACTCACTGGTTTTTTGGAAATTCTCGCGAGTTTCTTATGTTGTAGTAAAACGTTGATGAGCGATGACTTTCCAACGCTTGTTCTTCCTAATAAAGCAACCTAGAGAAGTCAAAGAAATAACCGGTTTATCTTGTTTTCGCACCGTCGACTACCTGCATTGCAAATTAAAAGCGCCAATTCATTACTCGATTACAGGGTCTTGACAAAGTGTCCCTCAGTCAAACCCAAACAGAAAAGTAAAATACTAGAATAGGAATATCATGAAATTTATACTACCTCAGGAAGCGGTTTTAGTTTCTTAAAATCCGYAATTCTTACTCCTGACTCTTCTAAAACAGCACTAGGCCCATGAATTTCGAAAAATCTATTTGCTGTTCGAAGCTGCTGTTGAGAAGGCTGAAATGGCGATCGATCTTCATGGTTACTTCGGCCATTCTTTTGTGAAATACACAAAAAACGTACATCCATGTAACACAGACGTCTTACTAAAATACTTTGGGKTTTGAGAAAAYGCCCCAATTTGCAATCTAGRTGCATTTTAGGAGCATCTATTGTAAAACCATGCAAAAGCCAAAACACRATTTTGTCCAGGCGTCACTGGYTAGAAAGCCCGCGATAAACGACCGCTGCCATCCGGGAGCTTTCGAACCATGCTTACAACAAAATGGCGGATGTAGTGGTTCCAACGAGTCTTATCAAAAACTGGGATAAAACTGGCAAAGATGAATTGTAAGCATCAAAAGTTTTCTCTTGAAGGCAAGGGTATACATAGAAGTAACTTAAYGTGTWTTTWTTTTGCAGCAAAAGACTCTGTAAAAACTGTTCCAAGGATCGAGATGGAAGGATGTCAGATTCGAGTTTTTTGTGCGGTTCTACTGGTCAGYTCSATTGCGCTTAGCTCACCTTAGTTTAATCCSTGYTTAATCGTGAATTTTCATTATTTTAGAYTTGAAAAGAGTGCTTTATGAACTACTTTGGCACGTTGTCAAAGGAGACTTGAAACAGGACGATGCCTTGGTAGTTCTAGCTGAGACGAAGGTAMGAACGTCAATTTGATCATACTTACAAAATCCAAGTTTATGTAAACTTAAAGCTTATCGCAGTTCCAAAGTTTGCATATTATTTTTCACTGGAAAAAGATGTTTTGACATATGATATCATTTATAGATTTTTCGTATTKAAAAGTGAAAAGTTGGTTGGATTTTTGCTCAGTATAAATACTGTACATGTACATCAAACTAATGTTTATTGAATAAAATTATGTTTGGTTGTACATAGTCTTGGCCTGTCAAGGAGCACAGTTTTTAATTTTGGCATGATAATAATTTAAAGATACTTTTTCAAAAACTAAGAACTAACAGTCACACTTTTGGAAAGAGGACTTAGTTGCTCGGAAAACTTTTCTAATTTTGGATTTTCAATTTCCCACTGAGAGAAAATTGGCTTTAAATGTATAGGGCCTAATTAATTTCAATTTCAATTTTGACGCTAAAAGTCATAAACAAAATTTAATGCAGGTTCCCATTCTTGACAGCAATGTGAACACTGTAATTTCTTGATTTACATCTAAATTGATATTAATTTTCTTATCTTTCAGGAGCTGCATCCAACAAGTCTTTCAGTGATGGCGGATCTAATTTGCATAATGGGTACCAGTTCCTCCTTCATGACTTACTTTGTTTTACTACTTTTTAGTTGTTAGTGCATTGATTTGATATGGATTCTATGCTGTGTTCTGCCCTTGCTTTGGCAACATTCAGATGTAGAGAACCAGTGCCTGGAAGACAAGGTGTACAGGGATCGTTTCCTCTCATTAGTGGCTGCATCAGTGGTACGTAAAGATCCCTAAAAAATGTTTTTATTTTCTGTACCTTTCTTGCTGAATGTCCAGTCCATCTGCTGACTACTTGATTTGGACAAATATGCTTTCCCTCCTGGATCGTAGGCTTGTTCCCCTTCAAACTGTTGCTCTTTTTTCTGTCGACTGTCAGTGCCATTTTTTTTTGCATTTTTTGGTTATTTTGGAGCAATATTGTTAGCAGCCGAAAGACTTTCAAATATCTCAGATATTGTCAATGATATTACCACAAGTTTATGAATACACAGACTTCCACCATATGAGCATTGTAGTCCTGAAATTGTGTGCAAATTTTGCTCAAGTTTTAGTATTTATATCCATTATTAGAATGAGCATGTGGATGTTGAAAAATATTTAGTAATTATAAGTAAAGATAAGTTATTATTTGTGCTTGTATAGTCTGTAATCCCTGAGGTGTTGCTGAAAGAGAGGCTTGATTTGGAGACCTTGGAGGCCCTTGGACTCATCCAGTCACAGAAGACATTCAACCAGAAATATGTCAAGACAAAGACAAAACTTTTGTAAGCATAATAATGTGYATCATTTTTCTAACTGTTAGAAAACAAAACAAAAAGGAATATAAGACTAAACAAACAGCAAAAAAGGACAAGAAATAGTACAAATTAAGTTTGTAAAGTCAACAACAAAGACAATAGCACTTAACCATATTTTTTTTAAATGAAAAGACAATATAAAGCAGGAATAATGTTACTGGAATACAACAATTCAAAAMACCTTATGGTCATCYAACCTAATGKCCTTGTGTGTTTGGTGAAGTGYAACATGGTTATTGATAAAGKTATCAAGATGGCKGATGAAGAAGGATCAAGTTTCCTTGCAAAATTCAAACTATCTGATTTCAATAATTATTTGGAATATCATTAAAAGACAAGCCTGCATCCTAGACTATGTTCAAAAACCTGTTTGGGAAATAAGCAATGCTTGCTGTTCGAAAAACAATCTGATATTCACGAAGCATTAATGGAAAACATCAACATGGCTCTGTTTGTACTTTCTTCAATCCCATGATGCAGTTCACCAATGTCATACATATCGGGAAAAGACCATAGACCAATTGTACAATGGTCTCAAAATTCTAATCAAATTTCAAACCGTCCTATTTGGAGATACTTTAAAGCCAAAATTATTTGCATTACATTCTRTTGTAGTTTGTAATGCCATTGACAGTGCTAATGGACTGAATTTTACATTCACATGCCTACCGTATATTTTTCATTCTCATCTTGCTCTTCTTCCAACAATTTCTATATGCAAAGATCATGTTTTGCACGTTGCTTTGTATTCAGTTTTGTTTTGACTAATCAGCTATAAGCAGCARAAGTACAACTTGCTAAGAGAGGAAAGCGAAGGATATGCTAAACTCATCGTGGAGTTGGCTCAAGATATTGGAGGTCGAATAACTGATGCTACAGTCTTRCAAAATATCAAATCACTCATTGGTAAGTGTATGGCTTTTCTGAAATAACATTACACATTTTAATATGTTCTTCATTTTACATGTGCATGTACAACTAAACATCTTTTGTTTATTCTGGTCAAATCTGCTGTTGTTTGTACTTTTTTGTTTGTTTTGCTTTTATTTTATTTTTTTGCTTTAAAAGCTACCACAATGCAATGTGAGTTTGTATATCAGAAAAGGTCTATTCGCTGTATAATTATATTTTGAACGCTCAGATTATAATTATCATTTTTGGACCATTTTGAAAAATTACTTGTCATCAAATTCTTATTAGAGTGGCTTTCATTTAACTAGTAGTAAAGTGTCAAAAAGCCAAAAAAAAAAAACAAAAACAAAAAAACACACAAAAAACAAAACAAAACAAAGAAAAATGTGCACAATATAAAGTAATAAATGTGAAGTATGCTAAAGTGTATTTCATGGGTTAATGAAAACCATTATACTGTACATGTACATGTCCCTAAGATGTTTATTACATGGGCTTCCAAAGGAAGACCATGTCTTAAATTACCGACGTTTTTTGTCTGTGGTATGCTTCAAATTATATCCGGGACCTTTTCATTTTTGACATCTATTGTCTTACTGTCATTCATGTTTCTAAGCAACGATTGAAAGGTCGCCTCGTGCTTCTTCGGACCTTCGTATAGCCGGAAAGCATGTCGAATCTAGGTCATCTAATTRTAGCTCCTACAAATACGCTAGATTCATTTACAAATCCACACACCATTCGCGGCAGCCACACTAAAAAAATTCGAGCGTTTCTCAAAAGGGCATTTGGAGAGATACGGCGAATTTATCGTGAATCTACCGATCGTGAATTATATATCAAACATTAGCTTATCAAATGCTAATTTATACAAGTACAGGCTCTACAATCACCAAGGACTTATCTAAGACATGTCAATAGATTTATACTGAGGAAAAACAGAGGATTGGAAGTATTTTAAGCGAAGAACATGAAAGACTATCGATCTGTGTTTAATACAGCCAAGGATGCGAGTCTTAAAGTAACGTCTCGTCAAACATAAATTACTTCTTTGACAATATTATGAAATTCTACTGAGTACATTGCTTGTTTCATTATTTTTCATTAAAGGAAATCTTCTTTCGCTGTTGTCTTAGTAATATTAATTTCATTAGGGTTCAATATCATTCACTGATTGTGATATACCACAGGAAGCCCATGTAAACGATCGCTGATCGTCTAGTTTTTCTTTTGTTTTGCAGGTCAGTTCCACCTAGATCCCAACAGAACGCTTGACATTATACTAGAGTGTTTTGAATGTAATCTCAAYAAGGAGCCATTTTTCCTACCACTTCTCAAGTCATACATGGGTAGAAGTGGGACGTCATCWTTATTCCAAATACTAGGCTTTAAATTTCAGTTTTACAAGGTACGGTGTATTATATAACACTCTCTTTTTTAATGAGAAAAAACATCCCCTGAAAGAAAAGATTGTGTGTTTCCATACATTGGTTTTAAGTTCAAATAATCTTGCAATGTCTCCATTCATAAACCATAAAGCAATAATAAAGATTGTGTTTTTGCTATTGCATTGTATATTTATTTTCCTAAATGATATTATTAAAATCTTGAAAGGGGGTGTTCAAGAACATGGCACTTTTAAATAWGTTTTCATTGTGMCMCACTGGTAAATGGCTTCTTTGCTTTACTYAAGATCTGACATTTAGTGCTAWCTGTACTTTACAGGACCAGCCAGGTGTCACTACTCCTAGTTCTCTTTATCATCTGGCAGCTGTGCTTATCAAACATGGATTGATCGAATTGGATGACCTATATCTGCATGTATGTCTTTGTATTACATGTAAATTGGCAATGTAATATGCTAAATGTGGCACTATTTTGTATGAGCTATTCAACTGTCTATTTCTCAACATTTATTGTATTTTGTACTTCTTGCAATTGTTTCTTAATCAATTCTTTGTGTTGAAAAGAAAACATTTCAAATTCATTGTGTTTTCTTAGCTGTCACCAACAGATGCAGATATTGCCGTGTCCTGTAAAAAGATGATGTCTGAGATGAAACAAGATGCAAAAAAATTAAATATAACTATCTTAGCTGTACGTAAACCACAATTAAGTTGATTATTTTGAGATCCTTGTTTTGTTGAGGCGTTAGTTCATAAAAAATGAATTCATATCTTATTGTAGGAAATGACTAATAATAATGAAGAAGGCAAAGAAAACAATGCAAAGGAAAAAGAAAATGAAAAAACAGAAATAGTAAGTGAAAAAATACACTTTTTCAATTTTGCTCAAGGATTAAAAGCCATAATTCTAAATAGACAGCTTAGTTTGTCAAAACAATTATAATTTGTTTTAGATTTTCAACCAATTGAGTGAACAGAACTTTTGAATCGAATGATATCTTTCAAAATGCTGCATTGCTAATGTATTTTTATTAGCATGTCATAATTTTTGTCTTTATTGAACTCGAATTCTGAATTCAAACTCAATAGTGAACTGACCATATGTTTTTAAATGAATGCATTATGAAAATGTTCATGGATAAAATGTAGAAAATGCTATTTCTGTCTAATTTTATAGTCTAAGAATGATCTAAATCAGTGTTTGTCAAACAAAAGCACTGTCACAATATGTAAATAAGCAATGTTAATGTATCTTATTTTATAATTCTGAATGTTTTTATAGCCACCAGATAATCAAAAGTTTGGTTTGTGTGAGGCACTAATTATGGTTGGTGCGTGGAAAAGCGCCAAGATGATCATGGACAAACTGCCTAGTTATGCTACAGTAACAAACCCTTCAATATCAGGCGCATTATGTAAACTACTGCACTCTACCATTGAACCACTTTATAGAAAGTAAGAACTTTATACTTATTAAATAACAAAATTAATCATCTAGATAGATTTGTCCCACTCTCCTTCTCAGTTTTTCAACGTGAAATCAAAGACTCTGGTTGGATAGGAGACTCTAGGTCTTCTGGCATCGTTTCCAGCTAGAGCCTTCAATTTTCAATTTCAATTTTAATTTATATTCATTTTTTTTACTTTTATTCATTTATTTTTCCATTCATACCATTYGTTCATTTATTTATTTGATTATTCGTCCATTCATTTATACATTTATCAATTCATGTGTTGATTTTTTTATTATTTCATTTTAGACATGCATCCAAAGCTGCTCGAGGCAGACCGTACACCACTGTGTCGGGAGCCCCCAAACAAGTCCAGTCATACACTGATTTAATACAAGATGTGTTCCCTATGTTCAACCAACTTGGTCCTTACTTATCATGTGATCCTATACTGATGGCTAAAATCCTCCGTATTGGGAAGGGATTTCTTAAAGAGGTATGTTTATTATTCTGCAGAATTTAAGCACTATCACATCCAATGCTTCAACATTTAATTTTTTAGTTACAACTAGTCTTTTTATGTTCTTGCTCATTCTTGACATCGTTACTTAGTATTTGTCTTCAGAATCCAAATTAAATCTTTAATAATACACAATTCATCTTTCTATATTGTAAATGAACTTATTGTTGATTGTATATTGCATACTATTTTGTGATTTTAATCTAGTATCCAACTGTGTTTGATGACAAGCCCAACAGTCCAACATCTCCTGAGGTTGGTTATTTTATTTCCATCATACTAAGCTATAGTTAGTGTATTAAGTGATCAAGTGAATGTGTACAATGTCACTGTGTTTTTGTTTTGAAGATTCAAAATGTCTGGTGTGGTTTTCTTACTCTTATGGATGAAGTTCTTCTTCCCTCGATTTCACTTCTTGAATGTAACTCAAGTTTAGCAGAAGAGCTATGGGGAATGATCAAATGCTATCCATATCAAGTTAGGTTGGTATTCAAACATAATGTTGACCATTTTTCAAGTTGAATAATTATAAAAAGTACTACTTCACTAACTACTTACATAGCAAATAAAAATTGCTACATAAAGTTGACTAATGTCTTACACAGAATCTTGTACTATCATTATTATCATCATCAAAATGAAGTCAAAGTGGAAGTTTTAGTTTATTTCAAGTGCTGAGTATTGCATTTCAGTACTTATCTTCCAAGCTYCCAACAATAAACTTGTGGGTTTCTGGCACACAACCTTGAGATTTGGTTAATGTGCTCGTTCCCCCACACACAAATACTCATGACAACAATGTGAATTTCAAATGCTGATTATACTACTGTGCAAGTAGTTTAACCCTAACCAATACTGTTACATTTTTGACATACAGGTATAGACTGTATGGCCAGTGGAAGAATGATTCGTATGACAAGTATATGGCACTGGTCAGGGTCAAGGCTGAAACCATCAAAAAAGCAAGATATATTACTAAGTAAGATATGATCCAATGACTTTTTTTTGGATAAAATCTAATAATTTGTATCGTTTGACATTAGACGTCTCACCAAGGAAAATGTAAAACCCTCTGGCCGTCAGATAGGCAAAATAAGTCACAGCAATCCAGGAGTAGTCTTTGAATACGTAAGTAATCTATTGATTAAAAGTGCATGTATTGCTTGCTGTTCTAGGGAAATGGTCTTTGATCTCCAAACGCAAATTGGGGAAATTTGCCATTGTGGAAATGGTATTGTATTAGTTGAAAACTAATTTCTTACTGATATTTTTTTACTTTTCAGCTTTTAACTCAGATTCAGAAGTATGATAACTTTATTGGTCCTGTTGTTGATTCTCTTAAGTACCTTACACAGTTGGCTTACGATGTCTTAGCTTGTATCCTTATTTAGAATATTGATTACTATTGTCATATTGGTATTTAACGTTCTTCACCTATTATTGAAATAAAGTTGAGTTCAAAMTGGCTACCTCATCAAAGATAAGACCACTTTTTTTTGGAATCACTTTTTTCTGACCCAACAACATTTTATTAATAACTAGACGATCAGCGATCGTTTACATGGGCTTCCTGTGGTATATCACAATCAGTGAATGATATTGAACCCTAATGAAATTAATATTACTAAGACAACAGCGAAAGAAGATTTCCTTTAATGAAAAATAATGAAACAAGCAATGTACTCAGTAGAATTTCATAATATTGCCAAAGAAGTAATTTATGTTTGACGAGACGTTACTTTAAGACTCGCATCCTTGGCTGTATTAAACACAGATCGATAGTCTTTCATGTTCTTCGCTTAAAATACTTCCAATCCTCTGTTTTTCCTCAGTATAAATCTATTGACATGTCTTAGATAAGTCCTTGGTGATTGTAGAGCCTGTACTTGTATAAATTAGCATTTGATAAGCTAATGTTTGATATATAATTCACGATCGGTAGATTCACGATAAATTCGCCGTATCTCTCCAAATGCCCTTTTGAGAAACGCTCGCATTTTTTTAGTGTGGCTGCCGCGAATGGTGTGTGGATTTGTAAATGAATCTAGCGTATTTGTAGAAGCTACAATTAGATGACCTAGATTCGACATGCTTTCCGGCTATACGAAGGTCCGAAGAAGCACGAGGCGACCTTTCAATCGTTGCTTAGAAACATGAATGACAGTAAGACAATAGATGTCAAAAATGAAAAGGTCCCGGATATAATTTGAAGCATACCACAGACGAAAAACGTCGGTAATTTAAGACATGGTCTTCCTTTGGAAGCCCATGTAATTAGGTGTATCTATTTTTTATTTCAAAGTTTATAAGATTTGAGATATTATCCTTAATGGATGTTAGTCTGTATTATTGAAGCTCTTGCTAATCCTGAGAAAGAGAGACTAAAGCTGGAAGATACGAACATATCAGATTGGCTAAAAAGTGAGTAAGACCAACCAGTAACTACAAGGCTACCAGTTATACCATAACCAACCAGTGACTACTGGACTGCCATTTATAGCATAACTACCCAGTAACTACTGGACCACCGGTTATACCATAACCAACCAGTGACTACTGGACTGCCTTTTATACCATAACTACCCAGTAACTACTGGACCACTGGTTATATCATAACCAACCAGTGACTACTGGACTGCCGTTTATAGCATAACTACCCAGTAACTACTTGACCACCGGTTATATCATAACCAACCAGTAACTCAGGGATTTCAAGAGAACCTAGCAACCTGTGAACTCCGGCCTCTATTTAGACATTTGAGCCGACTACTTTTGCCATGTCATGTTTAAATTTTATCTTTTAATCAGAATCTTCATATCCTACCACAATAAAAGTTTACATTTTTCCTCAATCTCAATTACTTTGCTTCAAGAATTGCAACTCGATATAGAACTTCAGCATGAGCTGTCTGCCATCTATGTTGTCTTATTTATTCCACAAATTGTTATTGTCGAGTTTAATGATCTATCAATGTTTTTCCCCAGGTTTAGCAGTGTTTTGTGGCACGGTGTTCAAGAAGTATCCCATTGAATTAACCTGTCTTCTTCAATATGTCACCAACCAGCTGAAAGCTGGAAAAAGTTTTGACTTACTGGTTTTAAAAGAAGTTGTCCAGAAAATGTCTGGCTTAGAAATCTCTGAGGAGGTCACCATGTCTCAACTGGAAGCTTTGTGTGGTGGAGAGCTCCTCAAAGCTGAGGTTTGTCTTTTATGTCCAGAGAAATTTCGCTTGTTGTCTGAACAATTTAAAAGATATTTTCATGTGTAGATAGGTTTTTCTCTTTTACAAAGGTATTATTCTCATACATGCATGTATAATTTTGCTAAGATAGAGTGCAAGTCACATAAGCATGAAACAATTCTTAACTATGTAGTGCTAAATAAGATTTAGTTATCAACTAACTAAGAATTGAGAACAATACTACAAAGAAATTTAAATAATTGGCATTGTGTTTATGCTTTGTTGAATTCTTAGTTAGTTGATAACTAAATCTTATTTAGCAATACATATTAAGAATTGTTTCATGCTTATGTGACGTGCACTCTATTATAAATGATACAATGTAAATAGAAAAAAATATATTTTTTATTGAAATGTGTTTTGAAAAGTTTTTTTTAAGGGCCAACATGCAAAATATAAATTTATATGTACTAAGCACAACTGTTTATTAGAAACACAGATAAAGCTGACACTAGTTTTTCACATTAGTTTTCGATCTTGTTATTTTTCCTATACAGGGTGGCTACTTTGGTCAAATAAGAAACACCAAGAAGTCTTCCCAGAGACTCCGAGATGCCGTGGTTGATGGAGAGCTGGCTCTACCATTGTGTATTTTAATGGCGCAGCAGAGAAATGGTGTGGTTTTCTTTGAAGATAACAAACGACATCTCAAGCTTGTGGGAAAACTTTATGATCAGGTACATTGTAGCTTTGTAAATCCCTTAAAATGTGGTAGTGTTTCTATGTTAGTGATATACATGTAATAAGCAAGACTTAACGCCACAAACACTTTGTAAAAGTTATTGATAACTCATTAGCTGTTAGTTCAATGAAGATCATCTATTTGGTCACAGTATTGACCTTGCAACACTAGTATTGTATTAACACAGTTGTCACCAGATAACCTTAACATAGAAAAGGTCTTTTAATATTTACAGCTGCTTTAAGATAATACTTATGCATTACAACATGAACATTTTAAACTTGAATCCAAACTTGAATTCTAATTCTGTGATGTCTTCTGTTGAAGTGCCAAGATACATTAGTTCAGTTTGGTGGTTTTTTGGCAAGTCAAATGACAGCTGATGAGTACGAGAACCACTTACCTTCTTTAAAAGATCTTGGACAAAAGTACCATCTGACTCCCGAAGTTGCATTTTATCTGTCAAGACCCATGTTCCAACATCAAATTGAGGTACTTTGGTCTTAAACTGTGTAATGGGGTCTTATTATCAGAGAGACTTAATAGAGGAAAAAAAGTAAAAAAATGTATTCAGGGTGTTGTCATGGAGAAAATGATTGTCAATTGTTTGGACATAAAACACAGAGAAATAAGTTGATACATTATTTGAGCCATATTTGGATTTTAAAAGTGGATTCATTTCACATTTTATAATAAACATTAAATTATTTTTTACAGTTGAAGTTTGAATCATCAAAGGCGTCTGTTAAAAGTGACAAAGCTTTGTCCCAAAAGGTAAAGAAATATATCTAATCAACCAATAAGCTGTTTTTTTCTACTAATTAAACAGCAGAGGCATTAGACCAAAGAAGAGACACATGATGTTCTAAGAACCCCGCGACACAATACTACAATCATGTAACTGTTACACCATGCTTTTGTATTAACAAGATTTCTGTTTGTTGTAGGTAATCTACCAACATTACACCGATGCAGTTAACAATGTAATGGAGCCCATTGTACAGAGTGCAAGACTACTACAGACTGCTAAAGTGTGGAATAATATCAGGTAAAATTATAATACTTGACTCTCCAGGATTATCAGCAGTAACTTCTCTTGATTATGAACCAGTCAAAAATTTACTGCAGTTGCAGGTGTAATTAGAATAATTTTATGCATGATTTAATATGATGTTTAGCTACTTGCTAATTGTGGGCTACATGTACTTGCCAATTAAAAGATTTTAAGATCCAGAATGATCCTTCAGTACTTCTTGGAACTGAAGGAAGCCTATATCATTGTAGAAATGACTGTTAAAGCAGGGTTCTCAGTGAAATGAAAGTAGATGCCAAAATAGGAAAAGTACAGCCAAATAATTTGCGAATAAATTCGTAAGTAGCCGGCTGCCTGCTTCTACTGAGAACTCTGGAAAAATTGTTTCATTTAAAAATTAAGTCAGTAAAATATATATGATGTATTGAAGAAGTTAGTAATCTGCTAAATATGCAAAAGTGTGTCAAAATAGATGATTGATTCAGTATAGGATCCTTATGACACTTGTGTTGTTCATTAGCCTACTAAACCTTGTTTTGGAAGCTCATTAGAATTCCTAATGACATGAACTGAAAACATTACGCAATTTGTTTTTCACTTAATATTGATTTAACACAGCTATTCTTTTGTGTTTTCAGTCCACAGTTGTATGTAACATTCTGGACGCTGTCCATGTACGATGTGCATGTTCCTGTGGAGAGATATGAAGCTGAGATTCAAAGGTTTAAAGCACAAATAATTCAATTAGAAGATAATAAAGAAATGGTAAGAAAATGCACTATATAATACAGAGTCAATTTCATATGAGTGGGAAATGTACTGTAGAAATTACCGCACGGTTACCGGACCTGGCCTGCACAATTTTTGTGAAGCAATGAGACACTAGAATTTGGTTACAGTACGATTACAGTTACAGTACAGTACCGTCCGTTTCCCACTCATACGAAATCCGCTCTATATTATTCTGATTGGGCAATTTATACAGTAGCATTTTCATTCAATATTTATACATGTAAAAATCTTTTCTGATGAAGGCGGCAAGCAAGAAGAAAAAAGACAAAGAGAGGTGGGTGCAGTTGATTGACAAGCTGAAAAGTGAGCAGCGAGAACAGGAAGAACACAATCAATGTGTGATGACTTGGTTGAAGCATGAACGGGATTCTTGGTTTCCCTCAAGTAAGCTATTGTTTACTTTAAAAAGTTGTGTAAAAAGATAAATAATCGTAAAAAGATAAGTGAAACAACTTACTGAAGTTTCGGACATTAATCCTTTTTCGGAGTAAATACTTGTTTCATCTAATTATTTTTACAGTGTTAAATTAAATCTTTTTACACAGATTTTTCTTTAGAATCACAGATGCAGCTCACATTAGTTTACTGCTAGTTTCCAAGATATTGTTTACTTTTGTTGTTTTACTCATAATTTTTATAACTTTAATTTTGTTAGGCTTTTTACTGATATCAGCAAAAATTATTTATCGTTTATATTGGTTTTTACATTATTGCCAAGTTAAACTGTTTGTTTTTATATCAGAATCTACCAAGAGTGAAACCATCACCCAATTCCTTCAGCTGTGCATGTTTCCTCGCTGTGTCTATACTGCAAGTGATGCTATCTACTGTGCTAAGTTTGTGCACACTTTACACAACCTGAAGACACCAAACTTTTCAACTCTATTATGCTTTGATAGGGTATGTGAAAATACTATACAGACTCCTAGTATTGTAGGTGGTTGGTTTGTGGCATGGTGTTTTGTTGTTTTCAGTGGCTGTGGCATTTATATTTTAAGGATGCTGAAATTATTTTATGTGAGCAGTCTCCTTCACGGTTTCCTGCACCATCTTGAAAGGTAGCCGTGCCTTCACATTGAAGAAAGACGACCATTTAGCATGCAATGATAGAAACCTTCTTTCACACCTGCAGACAATTATTAACAGGTATCTATCATTGCATGCTCAACGATTGTCTGGCTTCTATGTATAGGCATGGCTACCTTCAACATGGTGCAGGGAACCATGAAGGAGACTATTGAAAAGATTATAGCCATTTTTTAAGGGAAAAACTGATGACTTAATTGTGGTGATGATTATTGTGTATGCTATTACTATCTTTACTGCGAAATGTTTAATAAGTAGGTCAGTTTTGATAACAGCTTGAACTGGTCCGTGTCATCTGTGACTGTATTGTTGTCATGTCCTCTATAAATACATTCAAAGTTCCTATCTATAATGAGTATGCCCAATCATGAAGTGCTGTTTTCCTACCCAAACAAATCTACTCCAGTTTCTTAAACATGGTTTTGCATTTGCAGTGAAAATTATGATTAATTTGTTATTGTTAATATTCATTTCAGGTATTTTCAGACATTTCATATACAGTTGCTAGCTGTACTGAGAATGAAGCAAGTAGATATGGTAAGCACATTTATCAACTCTTTTTAGATAGTGTACAAACACTAAAACTGTGCAACATACATACCACTAAATACTGCCAAATTATGCTAATTCTATTGTTTTCTATTGGTTAATTAACACTATTTTGTAGTACATAGTGGAAAGTGTTGCACACATTTAATGTTTGTATTCTAGTGTAATGTAATGCTTACAACAAAGGGTGTGAAAGTGTGAAATGGATAATGTCAAGCCATGGTCTCTGTGGATACATTCATCATTCTTGYCATGACTGTACCATGACTACAAAGTCACTTATGCATGTTCATGCAAAATTTAATGTACACAACAYMGATTTKGTAATTGTAAAAAGAAGATCAAATTTCAAAGTATTAGAAGATATTTTCCTTGTTTCCATTCTCTGTTAGAAACACTTTTAGGATTGCMGAGAGAACATCAGAAAGTTGTGAATCACAAGTTGTATTTCTGTTCTCTAACGTTTTTTTGGACATTGCAGACRTCAATGAGGTTGTTTTATAATATCTGTTATTWTATWATAAMWTTTTTAGGTCGYTTCCTTTGTTCTATGCTTGAAATTGTGATGCGTTGGCATGGAGACAAGAAGATTTACGAAAAGGTAAACACAATTCTTAATTTATTTGTACATGTAGAGGAATACTTGATTATTGTTTTTATATTATTTGTAGGAGTGTGGTAGCTATCCTGGTTTTGTGACTGTACTGAGAGCCACCAACACGGACAAAGCTGACCATCTTGACTATGAGAACTTTAGACATGTCTGTCATAAATGGCAATATAAACTCACCAAGGTACTGTTCTGTCTTCTTGTTTGTTTGCCTGGCTATCTAATAGATGTGTATCTTCTGAAATTTTATGAGATTCTGTGTTATCCATTTGGTCTCTGCGTTTGTGTTTTGTTTAACAAGGTGTGTCTCTAGTCAYGTTTGTMATGTATAGTTCAACACCTAACTGGCCCTTAGTTTTTGCACTTGTTTTGTATTTTAGGCATTAGTMGTTTGCTTGGAGTCTAAGGATTATACACAGATWAGAAATACCATCATGGTGTTGACAAAGGTAACTACTTTTTGACAATTGTCAAAGTCAGTACAGGCAGCAATAGSCTGGAACGAGGCTATTCCAGCCTCTGCTGGAATTTTAAAAATAGACAATTTCTTATAGAAATGGCTGAAATAATTCTTTAAGGAATGCGTAAGGAGTAAACATAGTATCATTTTGAAATAGAAATTGAAATGATTTTYGCTCATAATATTTAGGCTTTCAAAGTTTCATTATGTCGATAAAAACAGCTGTAAAACTCTGTAGAAATGTTATCTAATCAAATATACACAGATTAGCACTCAGTCCTTTTTCCCTATTGCTTAGTTTGTGAAATTTCGTACAATTCTATTCTATTTCATAATAAATGCGTTCTATTGCTGTAGATTCTGCCCTTCTACCCTAAAGTTCTAAACCTTGGACAAGCCTTAGAAAGACGCATTGATAAAATCTGCGAAGAAGAGAAAGAGAAGAGACAAGACATCTATACTTTAGCAATGGGGTAAGTATGGTAAAAACAAGAAAGTAACAGCAAAAAGAGAGAAAGAAAACTGACAAATATCTTGTCAAGCAATGGTGTACACCTCCTCGGGAACAAAGGCTTAACGAACGACATAAGATTACGCCTGGGTTCCCGAGGATGTGTTGTACACTAGCGAAATCCAAACACTATGAACGGTACTAAATAACCCTTGTAGAGTGATCGCACTTATACCGTGCAACTGTATAAACTAAATAGTGCTATTTMGTTGTATTTAGTAAATCTTGCATGCGGTACGCAAATTAAATTGAATTGATGCAAATGAAGCATTCAATACCGTCTTGCTTCACGTCCACGTTTAGTACTAATTAGTACTTCTTAGATTTTGTACAGTTGCAYGGTTTAAGCGTGATCACTCTAGTGTTTGCACTCTTGCTAGCTGTAGTTAAGCAGTTGTGATTGAAAGAGCTCGGCATTGCTCGACYAAAAAAGYTGTTTCATTTCACGAAGCATTTTTATCAGATTGTAAACCTTATTTGACAGATATTCTGGTCAGCTTAAATCCAAGAAAAAAGAAATGGTCGCTGAGAGTGACTTCCATAGAAAAGAAAAGGTGAGAATTGTGTCTGTCTGTCTGTCTGTCTGTTGTTTTTATCATTAATTACTGAGTTTTGAAACGACAAAATATATAAATCTGGCCAAGTTGTTGTGGTTACCCCCGTCTTTAGTTATATAAGCAATAGACAGAATTGAGAGAACTCTTATTTATTGAGGCATTTTTACTTTGTATTGCCAGCCAGCTCCACCACCGACCACTACAACATCCAACAACGACAGCAGCGCTGTAACTGTCAAGCAAGAAAAAACAGTGAGTTATCGGCCAACACTAAAATTTTGACAGTTCTAAAATTGTATTTGCTCTTATTTGCCTYGGAGTCCGTAGTAATCGTTAAGGCCGAATTAGACAGCACAACTTTTGCTTACAAGCATCGCATGCAACCTGCGTAAGTCATCCTTACGACATGGCTACAACTGTCTTAGGGATTTAAAACAATTGCTTAATAGCTCTATGACAGTCTAAGCCATGTCGTAAGGATGACTTATGCAGGTCGAATGCGATGGTTGTAGGCAAAAGTTGTGTCGTCTAATTCGGCCTTTGTGCTTCATATTATTTGTGTACAYTGTCGTTGATAGTTTCTTGTTCTTCTTTGATAACTTGATTTRCTCAGCCTAATCGTATTCAAGCCTCTATCCCTTTACCATATGACTGGTCTTCCTGTGTCTTTTAAGTGAAGATTTATCAATCTGGCTTTACTTAGCGAACTTTGTCATTATAATGATTATAATAATAAAAACKTGTCAACTGTCTTGTTTTCAGGATAATCAAGCTACATCCAATTCGACTTCTGACACAAGTGAGTATAAAAGATTCATTTTTGAAGTTAAAACCAAAAGTTTTCATTAAAATTTGAAGGCAAACGATGGAAACTTTTTGATGAAGAATTGCTTGTCACTGCTACAAAAAGTCCAAATAATACGATCTTTTTATTATGTACATATCATCATTATCACATTTTATTAACTTTTATTGAATTTTATTAACATTAACTGGAAAAGGATAAATTTGACTCATAATGGGAAACATATCTAATATATAAAGCCCTATAAAGTTGTTCCAAGTGTTCAGTAAGAAGATCTTACAAGAAGTGTAATGAAAATGAAATAATGTGTCGTTTGTACTTATTATTGTGTTGTTTGGTTTACAGAAGTAACAGTGAARACTGAACCAGCAGACAGTACCACCACAGCAAAGCCAAAGGCCACAGGTAGATGTTCTTTGATATTATTCACCAATAGCTGTATTAATGTTTAATGTAGCTATTTTAAAAAGGATTATCAGGGAGATTGGTCTGTTTACTCGAGGCCAAAAGATGACCCTGTTTATTCAATACAAAAGGGGCATGCGGTTGTATTTCAGATTTTCCATATGTAGAAAATGAGGTGACTTTGAATTTTGCAATATTTTCATAGTTTTATAGTATAAAGTGATTGTATTTTTATTATTAAATATAAGTTAAAGTTCATATGGTTGACCATGGCCCTATAATTATGGATAATATTATTCACTCAATTTCTACTAAACTGAGAAAACCATCATCAAACACCTTAGTTTAATGGTATTGACTGTCGTTTGACTCGTGAATATCGTCACAAATAACTAACATGTACTAACAGTAGCTCTTGGTTTTACATTCCTTAATCTGACATCTTTTCTTGAAAATAGTTCTTTATATTTTACTCAATCATATTGTCTTTAATATTACAGTATCAGTTAAAAAAGAAACAGAAAACAAGAAGTCTTCAAGGTAGCTCATCAATATTTCCTTCTCTTTTTTGTTTTGCGTTTTGTTTTTAGTGTTTATATATTTTTAATGATGTTTCAATGGCATCTTTAAAACGTTGTGTATTTACAATCATTCATGGTGTCTTCAGTCCTAGTGTAGTGAAAACAGAGAATTCCTCTTCACAAGAAAAGTCCAAAACTACCTCATCCAAGTCTGGAACATCGACTCCAACACCACGAAGAAACTCAAATGACTCGCCCAGCAGGACTCCTGTATCTAACTCAACTACTGCAAAGTACGTATACGAAGAAAAGATAAGGTGTTTGGTGGCCATACAATGAACTACAGAATGAAATCTTGACTTTGTCTTTAGCTACTTACTGTTTTAAGGAAATAGTTTGTTAAGGGAAAAATAAATAGTTAAAAATGCAGATCCTATTGACACTTTAATYTATTTGCCTAGGTCTGGTAGCGGTAGTTCGGCGACAAAGAATCAATCGAAGTCCAAGACACCAACCAGTGGTTCATCTGTTAGTAAAGTTGACTTGACGAGCAGCAGTGATTCGGATGGTAAAAAGGCAGAATCGGGGTAAGTGTATATTGATTGATTGATTGACTTGATTGATTAATTAATTGATTGATTGACTTTATTGATGTATGGATGAATCGATTTAATTGATTGACTGAAATGATTGAGTTGATCGACTCAGTTGATTGAATTGATTGATTGGCTAGTTGACTAATTTATTGACTGACTAATTAAGTTATTGATTAATTTATTGATTCGTGATTGATTTGATTGACTTGATTGATTGATCGATTAGTTGGTTGGTTGATTGACTTGATTAATTGGTTTTTTGATTGATTGATTTATCTGCCTTTCAATCAGGCGTCCATTCAAGACGTACATAGTGATGATAAATGATTGATAGAAGTTAATCAAACAAATAATTATCAATGTCATATTCGTTGTTATTACTAGAAAAACTAAAAGCAAAGACAAGGAAAAAGAACGAAAAGAGGAAAAAGACTCAAATGAAAAAAACAAGGAGAAAGAGAAACCGAAAGAAAAATCCAAGGAAAAAGATAAAGAAAGAAGTAAAAGTAAAGAAAAAGATAAAGATAAAGTCAAAGAAAAAGCTAAAGACAAGCCTCGTACTAAACACAACACATCGATAGAAGCTGAAGAGAAAGGTAAACGTTTGTTTTTGCGAATCTTCCCAATTCAGTGATTTTCATTTTTTGGGCTTTGAAATGGAGGTCATTGGCACCCTCATGAATACGAAGTGAATTGCTGTAGTGTACACATAGCTTGAAAAATGGTGCAAACGCTCCGTCAAACTGTGAATAAATTCAAATTTGCGTTGTTTTATTCTAGAGCCCAAAAGACGTAAAATTGAAGGCTCGTCTTCTCCTTATGTACAGCAGGTAAGTGTTACCGTGCACTTAATATAGAGCGGATTTCGTATGAGTGGGACACGGACGGTACTGTACTGTGTCCGTAATCGTACTGTAACCAAATTCTAGTGCCCCATTGTTTCACCAAAATTCTGCAGGCCAGGTGCGGTAACTGTGCGGTAACCGTGCGGTAACGTCGTCCCACTCATACGAAATCCGCTCTAACTGGAAATTGGTTATTATTACAGTAGAATTTATAAGCACTAGAGCACTATTATAAAATTAATATAACTAATGATGCACACTATCTTTAATTCACTGTGCACAGGATTCCACCGATAGCAGTCTAGACAAGGTTGGCTTATTTTCTGCCTGTCTTTCTCAGCAATATGCTTACATGTTGGAATATGTTGTCTTTTCTTCAGCTCAGCTGTCTGTCTGTCTGTCTGTCTGTCTGTTCGTCTAGTATATCTTCATGTTGTCTATTTACTTGTGTCTTCGTTAAGTGTGTGTGCTCTGCTGTAGTCGTTCGGCTGTTCAGGCATCAGCTTGTTCTAGGTTCATTCTCATTTAGCCATTTCTCATTCAATCATTGCATTCCTTTCAATTATATCTTCATTTTTTTTCATTTCCATTTCCATTTCTCGTTTCTTTCTGTTTTTTTTGTGTTGTTTTCATTTTCTCGTTCATTTCTTCATCATTCAATATTTCATTCCTATGTATTTTATATATTAATATTTTTTTAATCAATACTCCTGCGTCATGCCTTTCCATTTTTTTTTTTACTTCTCATTTAGGTCCATCCATTCTTTCTGTTTTTACTTTCATCCTCTCCWAGGTTYTGTTTCTCCACCCTGTCTGGGCTGCAGTGATGCAAYCGTGATTATCGTTMACTAATTCTGTAGTAACTTTTAATGTCGCAGGACCAAGAACGATCGAGTTCTGAACGAGAAAAAGACAAAGAAAAAACTAAAGACAAAGAAAGAAAAAGGGTAAATTGACTCTTTTGTTTGTCTATTAGTCGAAAAAATCATTTAGAGAGCTATAAAGTCGCTTTACAGTCATGAAGCTCTTCAAAATTCCTTGCTTTTATCTCATATGCCACATCCTCGCGAACCCAAAGTAGACCTTGGATATGGGAACGCTTCTCCAACTTGTTATATAATCATAAATTGGGTGTTTTATTGTACAGATATCTAGCGATCAGTTAGACGGAAAAGAAGTCAAACGACGAAGGGAGGATAACGGGGAAGGTGAGACGGCTGTATAATTATTGATATGTAAAAAAATACAAAATAATATATTAAGATAAATACCCACTTTAATATTATCTCGTCTCTATGCTATATCAATGGAGATATTGCAAGATTCGGCCTTAATAACTGTTAGATGAAAGGGGATTAAGAATTTACATTTGAAGTCACCTCATAATCTAAAACGCGACCGCATTGAATTCCGGTTTATCATGGCGCTTTAATTTATTTCTGTCTGTTCCAAACAGTTCGATCGCCCAGCGCGGATTCCACAAAGACGAAAGGAAAGTCTGACGACGGTACCCATAAGGTAATTTAGTCTATTATTTATTAGATGTTGATGATAAGTATCGTAAAGTGTTCGGATCAACATCGGAAGGGGGTCGTTTTGTTGTCGTCGCATTCTCGACAAGCGAATTAAATATGCTGTTTTTGTACAAGGAAAAATCCAAGTTATCGGTGAAACTTGTTCGCAAAGTAACCAGTGAATCAACAACCAAACAAGATAAAGAAGAAAAAGAATCGAAAACCATTACCAAAAAGGTAATAAGAATGTTTCTATKATAATGTACAGTATCGAAAGAGAAAAAAAACCTGCGTTAGTTTCTCCTTTTTACCGCACAAAGTGAGGCTAAAGAGTTGCGAATTTGATCTCAAAACGTTTTTGGATTTCACAGAAAGAAGTTAACGACAAAGTTGAAAAGGAATCGAAAGACGAAGATACCGCGAAATCAMGGAGACAATATCCTTTAAAACTTTACAATGTCAAGTGAAATTTTATGAAAAATTTAGTCACAGCCCTTTTTTGAGGATTATATGATGGGATTTTATAATACATGCACAAATGTGTGATGTGATTTTTCGTTCCAGACAATATTTGGAAGAACGGTTCTTTTAGGTCTCTTCTTGTTTTTCCTTAACGTTTTTCAATCATAGATCATCATCGAGAAGAACTTGACGCCGGCTTCAATAAATAGTTCTTTTGAAAGTAATTTATACCGTACGAAACCGGCAATAATCACTGAGCATCTCAGGCAGCCTAACATTACGTAGAAGTATTTTATACTATACTCTGCGTCCCGTGTGTTTCACCTTACTGTTTCGTGTAAGCATAATGTCGATACTGCTGCGCTCCGAGAACCAAACCTGAGGAACACCTTCATCACTTTCGTTTACAATCAGCCACGTCATGAATTTTAACTTTGCCAGACATCGGTCCAACAACGGATCCTTGAGGAACACTCTAAACTTCGTGTTTGTGATTTTATGAACGCTTAATAGCTGCTAACAGTTAAAAGGAACCGCTGTGTTTTTTATTTCTTAATTAACCAGAATTTCCCCTTGCGATATAATGAAACAGTTTTTGAATTATAATTGCGCACCAGAACCATACAATCTCTATGCTATTTTTTCTAGGACATGAATTGTAGTACGTTATCAAATAAAATCATACTTTTAAAGAAGTTAAATTGTGAAATTACATTAGTTTCTTGACGACTTGTTGTTGTGACGTCACAAGGCTTTTTTGTGAGCCAGCGATGCTGCGGCAGTCAGCGGTTACGAGAAACATTTCAAAAATCAGTTAAAATCGACATTTTTATGATTCAAACATTTAGCGAAATTACATTTTATAAATCGTGTGGATTTTATTTTCTGTTTTATTGCTAGAAATAGTATAAAAGGTCAATACATGGTTAAGTTGATGGCATTTTTGTAACGAAACTAGTTGTGTACTTTCCGTTGTTTTTGGTCAGCGTGCTGTTCTCAKAAACTGCTACCACGGTGCCAGTGCGCATGATCCCAAGCATGAGTTTTTTGTCCATATACTTGTGGGACCAGTAGTTGTCGAAGAACTTGTTGGAAAAACTCTCACGGAAGAGGCAGTCGTCATTAAGTGTTTTCTAAAATTATAGAACATGACAGAGGTAAATGACAATGTTGAAAAGTGTGGGTCTTACTTAGAATGTGATCGCACAGGGGAACCTGCATTAAACTATTGCCGCTCACATTCGACTCCCATACATATAGCTATTTCAAAAAAGGTTGTCGGATAAAATGGCGAATGTCAATTGTCGAACGGCGATTGCACGACCGAAAGTAGCCATGGGTTTTGCTWGTTGAAAGGCATAACTAATTTGTACTTTAAAATGGTCTGTGGTAAAGATTGGCTCCATTTAGTCTCCATTACTATGTAAGGTGAATCCAATAGGTGAAATTTTGTTTATCAAAACAGTGTAACCATAGTCCCTTTCGGTCGTGCAATCTCCCTTCGACAATCGCCGTTTGCCGTTCTCCTCGACAACGTTTTAAAATAGCTGTATTTATTGGAAATGTCATTCATTGAACGTTCATCTTCTATTAAGCTTAATAGGGCTTCGACTATAGCTTAATTTTCAAAAATGTATCGTGTTAMTACATTCTGTCCTGAATAAAAGAAGATATTACATGCTTTCGAGGTTAAGGCTGCACAAATAGGATCTCGGAACTGGCCATTTAGTAAAACGCATCCCAAAAAGCATTGGGCAGGGTGCTACCATTGTAGAATGTTGAGTACAACGAGAGTAGCATTGCGTTCTATTTTGTAGCAGATGATTAAAGAATCATAACCAACCGCCGTACCTTGCGCGCTCGTACTATTGTTTACATACGTTTAAATGAGTCAARAATACAATAAATTATAGATTGATAGTACCTGTGAGGTACTTAGTTAAAGGTATTTCTGTACAAACTGAAAGGACGGAAGACGATTCGCGCTCACTTTAAGAAATCCTAACGAATCCGCCATTTTCGTGTCCTCCTAAAATGGCGCTTCGGCTCGCAAGGTACGGCGGTTGGTTATGATTCTTTAATCGAGACTATATTCCGAGCACTCGGTATCAACCATTCCAGAATGGTATTATTAATAATGTGAATTTCTCATTATACTGTGTTAATTTACCGTGGTGTAGACCTGCCCTTCCGCCATAGCTAGATAAAACCCTGTATGTGACCCACGGATTTGTACAAGGCCTCTCTTGACAGGAATAATTTCAAGGATAACTGAAAGAAGTAAATTGACTCATTTATTTTTCGGTATTAGGAATCGCGCGTCCTAATTGGCTGGCGGCGTGGTCTCATTCGATGACATTGTACGTGAAATATAGAGGGAGAAAATAAGGGTCTTCGTACTTTGTACTACCTAAGGGGTCTAATGGGAGATATAAAACTGGTTCCTCCAGTCTGCTCCCTTGGTTTTTGTCCCCGGGTTGTTTACAGTTAATTTGCTCCGCGCGTTACTTTAAAAAAAGACTTCAATATTCAAGGTTTGGTGTGAAAATATCCAGAATTTGTGACCTTTCAATTTAGTGGCCACCATACAATAGATGTAAAATCTATGTGCTTTCTTTTTACTCACTGACCAAGTGGGCTGTGATCATTCATCGTTCCCTTMACGTTGCCATTGTAGTTTATTTCTAAGTAGTGGCCATTATTGCACAACAAACGTCTTCTYCTAAGMCACRGAGAATACAGGTTATAGCACATGGTTTTATCGACTGTTTTRATCAACGTGWTGTGGTTTCGAAGGGCGAGGATGGAAAGGGGTTGACTTGAAGTGTTCGATATYATGATAAGATACTGAGTCCTTGTGTCACATAAAATGAAAAGTAAATGATGGAATATCTGTCCTCGAAGCAAGCGTTCTCATGATAACAGGACCAACGTATTGCAATAGTATATTCAACAACGTAAGCCAGTATACACCGCCAATGTTTTGATTTTATGTCATAGTAGTACTTTATCAACAGAAGCTCAACGATGGATGGCTGCCAACGAGGCTGCATTACAATTCGTATCCGGATGCAAATRTGCGTTGTTATACGAATTAACGAGGACACGGTCACCGTTTGAGGCGGTTACATGGTGTAAACATTTGGTTAAAATGAAGGAAAATATCGCAAACTGGGAATTTCTAAACTACTACATGTACGTGCTCCATTCGAATTTTACCTGCAAAATGGTGCAGCGGGTTTTTGCGTTGGGTCTGATAGAGCTTTATGTTTCGTCATTGTCATCTGAACAAAGAACGATTAAAATTATATATCATCTATATGCGAAGCTGACTGGCAAAGGCAAAATCTTCCMAATGCTTAAACCCGTCAACTAATAAGAAACGTTTACAAATCAATTCTCAGTTACGTTTTGGATCGGTAGCCGTAAATACTTAGCTTGTCGGCGTCTTTTCATAAATATACACGCATAACTTTTGCGTTCTAAGTATATTTCATTTTCAGAAAAACTTGCTTCTTGATATAAATCAATGCATTTATTTATTTATTTTGACATTAAAATAATTATTATTTATATATTTTAACATCAAAATTGCAATTAGACTTGTTATCATTGCGATATTGAGAGAAAAGAACAATCTATAACCATTAGAGTGCGAGCAACCAAACCAAAACATTTAATAGTGCCAATAAATCGCGTCAAAATTGCCCTTATTGTTTATTTTGAGTATTTTTTGATTTTTCACGATTAGAAATTATAGAGTAGACTAAGTTTCGAAAAGTACGAAAGCTGAGTTCTGTTTTACAGTAACATACCTCTTTTTTTGCCAGTAATTATTAAATCCTAGATTTTTTAGACATTGAGCTTGCCAACGAAGTTAGACGGTTGTTTTTTTCAATTTTCATACTTCTATGTTAAAAACCTGATCATTGTATAATTGCGCTGTAATTACCTAAAATGGAATGATATAAGGGTCATAAATCTCCCGTGAGTCATTTCAATACTTCAAAAAGCGGGAACCGGAAAGCAATTGATTTAATATGTCAGTTGAAACGCTCGAATGGAAGAATCTTTCCGATTTGACACTTGCTTCTTTGTTCTCAAGTAAAGTACGGAAGAGAAAGCTAAAAAAAAAATACTATTCGCCCCATGTATAAGAGAATCGCGACCCGTAGTGGATTCTGGATTCCAAACATTTTGGAATGAGGCCATTCCATATTCCTTAATTTTCAGATGCTTCCTTTTATTTGAAATTTAGGAGACATAGGGCTGTTTTCCTTTTATTTGAAATTTAGGAGACATAGGGCTGTTCTGGCGATTTGGTCACTTCACATATCTCACAACACGCTTCACTCTCGTTTTATTCAGCTTGATCCAACTTATAAATGGATTCATTCATGGTTGCCGCGTGTAGGGTTGAGCTCTAAGGCCTTGGAGTATGAAGCACGTTTGCCATCCACCATAATGACAACAGTGTCCGGAACATTACCAGTTTTGGTAATATCATTTCYATCACAAAATGGCGGCTGAAGCTTTTTCCGAACCCTTTCCATTTTAGCCCCTAATAYTCAAATAAAGCTCCAATCCCATGAACCTTTGCCCACCAAGGCTTTCTAGTATAACAAACGAACTCATAGCTGTGAAGTATTGTATAAGACACGTATACGTTTTCAAAATATTCGAGTTTTTATGCTGCTTTTTTGCGATTTTTCGACTAGTTTCACATACTAAAGCGATTTTTAAAGTATCTTTGCCCCCTCTAGAGKCAATTTAGAGTAGTTTTACTGTCTATTACAGTTGGTTTCGTGTTGAGGCATAACGGAACTTTTTGAGGCATCCTCTTTAAAGTTGTAAAAGCTATTAATCGAAAGGAGAGCGATGGAGGAGCATCGGAGATTCCTCGATAAAGATGTTGTATCTGTAGTGTTTCCTTGATAGAAAGTCACAATGATCACAAGTCAAGAAAGAAAAGAAGAAAATACGGCAAGACTTAATATTTTATATGAAGGAATTCAACGATGCTGGGGCATTTTATAAATATTGAGGAGGAAAGCAGCGATAAAATGGAGACGTTGGGATTGGTGCTAAGTGTGCTAAGTATCTTTGATAAATATTAAAATACACTACTCTTATCATGTAGTTGTGCTGTCATTATATAACAGTTATAAACTACTAGAAGATTTTTACTAAGGAATGAATTCGTCACTATATATATACATGGAGGGGAAATTTTTTTAAACCCATCTATAATGCATTGTGACACTGAATAAAATAAAAGTAGACCATTTTTTTAAGTAAAATTTTATTTTTAACCATTATATCGCCCCGTGTAAGAGAATCCGGAATCCGGAATCCACTAAAGAAACAGCTTTGGAATCCGGAATCCCTATCCTGGAATCCGGAATCCAAATATTTGGAATCCATAATCTGGAATCCAGCAAAAATTTTGATATCTAAAAAACACATAGGACATCGTCCCGCTGACGCCCCTGCGCAGGCTACTGACATGCTGAATGTAAAATTTTCAGGAAAAAAACCCCTGAAAATCAGGCCATTTATTATACAGAATCCAAAACAAAAATTCTTTGGAATCCGGAATCCCAAGGCTTGAAATCCGGAATCCAATGTTTCGGAATCCGGAATCCAGCGCTTGGAATCCGGAATCCGCTAGTTCTCTGGATTCTCTTACATGGGGCGAATTATAGGTTCAAAGTCACTGCTTGGGCTCCCTGTGGTAAATCCAGCCTCTGGTTCCCAGGGTAACACTTCAATCAATAGAACACCAAACGTATACAAATAGCAGAGACTTCTACGTAATAATATGTTACGACATTCAAAAGAAATGTATTGCATGTCCTGTGATGATTGATTGTTACCATGAACGCGAATGTGTTCTCGTCTGTGATTGGTTAAGAGCTGTGTTTACAAAATATTCCCAAAACTGGTAATTGACACAAATATGAATCCATCTATAGTTTATTAATATACATGTATACTAACAATTATAATCTTATGATATACTGAAGCTCCACTACATACACAGGTCGGATCCCTTCACTAATACAATAGAGTCCGATTACCCAAACATCTTCCAAACGTCCTATGAAAACTGTATTGGATATTGACAGTATAACCAGGGAGGTAGTCTCCTCTCGCAGCCGTTAGGACGTTCGTTCCCAGGTCACTGGGGGGAGTGACCTGGGAACGAACGTCCTAACGGCTGCGAGAGGAGACTACCAGGGAGGTTGCCCCTGGTATAACTGTATATAAGGTGACCTAGCAAATGAGTTTCCGCTCCGAGTGTTTGTGTAGTAGGGGTTCCAAACTGTTGAAAGCACTTTCCCACTTTGGTCTGTACTTTCTGATACGATCGAGGACTACAGCCTCGGTCTTGCCGCCACCCCTCGGACTTGGCCCGCAACTATAGGTATATTTATGATATATGCAGTGTACTTCAAAGCCAGTCATTTTTTAATTCTATTACGTCTTAACTTGATATCCCGTTTCCATCAACTTTTTACTTAAAACTAAAACGTTGGCAGTGGTCTTAACTATACGAGTGTTTGAAATACATGCACGAACTATTCTTTTCGCCTATAACTCTATAGTAACTCGGAAGTTCTCAAAAATATGACGTCCCGACGTTAATGTCGATTCTACTATCAATTAGCGGCAAAAAGGCTCTATTGGGTGCGCCATAAATAGTTATCTAAATAATCTCTCAAATTTAGAAGCCGAAAAAGTCAAACAAATGACAACGATTTATTAACTCTGGAGGCATCCAGGAGATATAATTAAGATGAGATGAGTTCTCTTTTTTTAAAAAAAAATAATTCTTTAATAGATTTTTGAGAATTAGTCCCATTATAGTTTCTAAATCAGAATTTCACACTACTTGGCTAAATCACGAAAAGGTGCCCATGACACGCGACTCCACTTAACATGTCAGTTTGTCCCGACATATTAATAGTCATGCTTAGTTGGGAAACAATCTATGTGACAGTCGCGATCGAGCCAAGAACGTCAATACTCTACAAAGCAGTCTAAGACGAGTTCAACCTTTCCTAACATGTTGAAGAGATTCTGTTTAATGCTATTAATGTCCACGGCATTAATTCTGTTCCTTAGCGATTCCTTTCCTTCGAAARAGCCTATCTTTTCACCATCAAATACTCATGTGAGTCAAACGCCTCTAATGAACAAAACCAAAGTGATTTTACTCTACACGGACTTTTTTAAAGGTCGATGGTATTTGCGCTGGAATCATCATTATTACCCATGTAGGTACCGCCGATGTAGATTCACTTACAGAAAAAGTGAAATCAACACTGCCGATGCTGTGGGTTTTCACGATGCGGACCTGCCAAGAACATTTCCTCAGAGAACAAAATCAAATCAAATATGGTTTTATTTCAGCCTTGAAAGTCCCSTTAACTCATATGCACAGGACTACCGTAATATCTTTAACTGGACCATGAGTTATAGAAGAGATTCCGATATCTACGCACCTTATGGGGACTTTACATCACTCGACTGCTACGAACATCAGCTCGCGGAAAACCTGTATTCCAAGCGAAATTTTTCTCAGGAAAAAACAAAAATGGTTGCTTGGATAAGTAGCAATTGTCGTGATAGTTTTGGTCGATTTTCATTGGTGAAAAATCTATCCAAATATATTCAAGTTGATATTTTTGGAAAATGTGGGTTGAACCGGTGTCCTATGGGCATACACAAACTTCAATCTCCTGACTGCTCACTCAAGCTAAGGAAGTACCGATTCTATTTGGCTTTTGAGAATAGCCGCTGTGTGGATTACATCACTGAAAAATATTGGCAAAATGCTTTGGACAACGAACTGGTCCCTGTCGTAATGGGAGGCGCTGACTACGAGAATATTGCAGTCCCGGGTTCATACATAAATGTGAACGATTTTGAGTCAGTAAAACAATTAGCAGATTATTTAATGCACTTAGCTGCTAACGCCGATGACTATAACAACTATTTCAAGTGGAAAACGCGGTTCAAGCTTGATACGCCATATTTACATGGGTGCTCTATCTGCGCCGCTCTTAACAGCAACAAAGGTAATAAAACTAAGGTTTATCCAAGTTTGCATAAGTACTGGAAAGAAGGAAAATGTTTTGGGAGAATAAGCCTACTCTGATCATTATTTGACAATAAAAATAATTAACAATCTTCCCCTTGTATCTACTGCACTCTAGTAGATACTACCCTTGGTACAGGGGTTGGGGTTTCTCTTAGTTCTTATAATTTAATTACGGCGCAATTTTATTTTTAATTTTATTACGCTTTTATTTTTTCGCTTATAACTCTATAGTAACTCGAAAGTCCTCAAAAAATATGACCTCTCGACGTTAATGTCGATATCAATTAGCGGCAAAAAGAGCTTGTCCAATCTCTATTGGGTGCGCCATAAATAGTTATCTAAATAATCTCTCAAATTTAAAAGAAAAAGTCAAACAMATGACAACGATTTATAACTCTGGAGGCATCAAGGAGATAATTAAGATGAGATGAGTTTTTTTTTTAAATTAATGATTCTTTCATTAATAGATTTTTGAGAATTAGTCCCATTATAGTTTCTAAATCAGAATTTCACACTACTTGGTTAAATCACGAAAAGGTGCCCCATGCGGACACGCGATTCCACTTGACGTGTCAGTTTGGCCAGACTATTCATAGTCATGCTTAGTTGGGAAACAATCTACGTGACAGTCGATCGAGCCAAGAAAAAAGCGTCTTTGAGGCCGAAAGAACCCACTTTGATTATGGTTTCGGCCTTACGGCCTCTCAAAGACTACCCGTAAATAAATTTTATGAAAGAGGAAATCCAGCGTCTGGTGCAAGGTAAATTCTCGGTTTGCACATGACGTCATCAGTCGAAAAAAATTCTAAAATCACAGACACACAACATTACAGTACTAAAATACCTTGAAGAGCATGATGGAAGTTCTCTCTGAAAGTTTCAAGTTTTTTTGCTGTTTGTTCGTTGAGTTATTCACGTTCAAAAATATGTCACGCAATACTGTCACGCGACTTGAAACACGCCAAATTAAGCTCGGAAAGACTATTAATCTTAAAACAAGTATAGCCTCAGCATTAAATTGAATTCTTAGAATGATATTGTTGGAAAACTGAAGCAAAATCATTAGTTTTGAGCTCATTTCGACACTCGGAGTTACTGTCGGCGTGGTTGGTGTACTGGACTTGTACACCATTAGGGCTTTCCCATACATTCCCTTGTAAAGTAAGACCGTATTCAAACGCTTATATTTTTGCTACAAAATGGCAGTTTGACTTCAAATTTTGCATAACTGTTGGTAATTATATGCTGTTTTTGGTCTTGAACATAAAAAATTCATTTCGATCTTAAAACAAAGTCTTTTGTAGGTATTTCTTGACCTGKCTAAAACGCATTGAGCCGTGATAATCCCATACATTCTTACCAATTTTCGATCGCTCGTATTTCTGTTAAAAAAGCATTGTTTTGGCTCAAAATTTCGTAATGATACTTTAAATTAGATGTTCTATCGAGGACAATAATAACATTTYGCTAATTTGGCCTCTAAATAGCACTTTAGAATGTCACGTGATTAGTGCAAGAAAATGAAGAAAAAATGTACTGTGGCATACTGTTGTTCTCATCTCACTTCTGGACGTAAGGAAAAAAAAATGAAATCTATTTGTTTTATATAACATTTTCCTCAATTTTTTCCGCCCACAACATTTTCTTGAGGTTTCTAGCATAACAAGCCGCAAGCTCGTTTTTATTGCGATCAGCTTGAGACCAGTGTTGCCATAGTAAAGCTACTTGTGGTTGCAATGTATGCTTAAGAAAGTGTGAATCCCGCAGAGGGGATGACAACTTTTTAGAGGTCATGAGTTAGTGGATGAGTTCTAAAAGTTCATTTAAAAAGTTATAAAGACATAAAGACAACAACTTTCATTTTGCATAAAAGGTGTGTTTTTTTTTTTAATTCCCAGGAGGGTTTTAAGTGACCGTAGCTCCTTTTGAGAAWGTTTCCTTGGTAACCGTTAAGTTGCATCAATAGAACGTATTCGCATAACCCACTTTTTAAATGCTAATGAGTTTGCTAATATTCTAATGAGATTGGCACAAGAAACAAAAGAGCAAAAACATGCTTKAGTGATTTCAGTAGCGAATATTATTTCAAAACTATTTTGAGCTCAGTTCAATAAATGCAAAATTTCAAAAGGAAACATTTTTAACAAYGARTCCTTGGGTGAAGTATGCGCTCGACTTAATCYCACTCAATAAACTTTTGTGAKGTTGCGTTTTATCATGAAATATTTTTGATCAGATGTATAGTGARGCTATAAGAACACATTTTGAAACGTACTGTTTTGTCGACATTTATTTTCATAAAAAAATCGTATTTACATATAATTACTTATTATTAAAAAATAAGATCCGATTATCAACAAATAATATTACGAGAAAGCTATGCTGAAGTTTATAAATATGTTAAAAAACTCATACATAATTRATGAGTTATTAGGCCAATAGAATGAGCCTATTTGGTCACATGCATGGACCTTTATATCTGATAAAACACTCATTATTATAATAGACTTTCTCAAAGTCCGTTTTTCCTGGTTCGCTTATACTCGCGACTACGTCGCTCGAATTATCAGTGTCCCAACAGTGTGGTCGATTTGTGGCAAGTCTATCATTATTAGTATTCTTCATATAAAGAGTGACCTTTATCAGATATAAAATTCCATGACCCTAGCAAAGGTCTCGTGTTTTAAACTATATATAAAATCTTGGTATTCGTATGTGGTTTGAAGACTAAATAGACGTCTTTACTAAAACGGSCGCCATCTTGAATTCGACGTATCAATTCAGCATAAAACTAGGGGATGAGCAGTGGCGCACGAAGCAGTTAATTTTATAAACTGTAGGGCTAAAAACATAGCCCTCTTGAAGCATTAATTTAAATTTTGAAGCTTGAAATTTTTAGGGTAAGTAATCTCGACACCATTCTATATAACGATTTGTGCTTTTGCCCCTTGGAAATAATTTCTTACTTTATTTTAAAATTTTATAGTTTTAAAAAAATTCAAGATGGCGGTAGTATTATTACCAATCAGTCCAATCGACATATTGGTCTATTTTGAGCTCACTCAACTCTCAACTTGAAAAGCCTAATTACTGAGCATCATGGGATATGTAATTTGATAAAACATATATCAGGTTATATAATAGAATTCTGCACGTTTAGTTCAGATAGTTATTTTACAAGTACTGTTCAGTTCGTATTCAGCATAACTTGGTACAATGCATGTATCCCATAACACACATACAGAACTTGCATGATGATGACACGAATTGTCCAGGCTAAAGTAAATAAAAAAAAAATAAGATAAAAAAATATAAGAAAAATATAATGAAATCAAAAGAATTACAATAAATCAACTTCGTCCCCAGGCCCTTTTCACTTCGTTTGAAGTCAATAGAAAAATATGTATAATTAGAATCGAACAGAATGACTAAATAGAGACTTCAAAAAATACCGAATGAAATATAACAGAAAGAGCAGATAGAAAATGAATGAAAAAAAAGAATGAAAAAAATACATACTTTATATATCTTGCCGTTGTATGAGCAACCACAATGAGAAGGCGAGATGCATTTGCCGTCTTTCAAGAYCTGGTTCTTTGGGCAGAAGCAACCTTCTGTGCATTTTCCTCCGCATGGCGATGAACTATATTGATTTTTGCATGTTTTTGTGCAACCACACGATTTATAAACTTGATTACTTGCTTTGCAGTGGTCCTCTGTAATCAAAACAATTTTTCAGAACAGCAATGAYTGCGCASCGAATTTTATTAAATGGGCTTCCTGTGGTGATAMAAACCCGCACCCYACCCCKACTCATTTCCAGTCCTTTTTCTATCAAAATCCAAGATGGCCGAGTTACAGTATTTCACTCGAAGCACTGTATGTAAGAATTAGCAATTTTGTGAAAGAAACGGCTTTTTAGTGAAGAAAATGTATTACAATCTTCAAATATGGTAAGTTCAATTTCTTATAAAGGCAAAGAAATGACATGAGCGAAGAAATCACAGACCCAGAACTTCCAGCACACATCCATGGAGACAACACAGCCTAAGTTTAATAAGTAAACACTTAGACAAATTAAGCTTATAACAGACATAAAGTTCATAAATATCACAGGCAGACAAATTTGGTAGCAGAATTGCCAAATCAAAATAGCTAAAAAGGAAAATTTCGGAGGTGTGGCGTGAATGCGAACAAAGAAATCGATAAATGGGACGAGTTTGAACTTGCTCTAGTGAGAGCGAGAGTCTGTTCCTACCAGACTCCTGAGCCCTCCGCATTTCATGTTTAAGTAAATTAATTAAAAGGTTTTCGAGACGCTGTTAACTAACCTCTGCAAATAGCACAGCATTGTCCTTTAGGTATAATAGTCTTGCCTGAATAGCCRGGCTTGTTGCATGATGGCTTTGGGCAGACTGGACGAGTACACTTTGTTTTACTAGACTAAAAATCCATAAAAGTAATGAATTATTCACCATGTACTCTTGGCTGGACGCGTTCGCTTTTTTATACACGGCCATATACCATACACAATGATGGCTTGAAATTTTCATTTGACTTTAAAATGGCAGACTTTAACTTTTGTATGTCTTTTGCGCGCTTTTTAGCCAAAAATGATTATAAACCATACCTCACATTTGCAGTTCATACAGCTATCGTTGCTAGGATGCCAAGTATCACCATSGAAATAAATCTTACTACCTTCACGGCACACTGCGCATGTGTGAATGCAGTACACGTGATTACCCTGAAAACCAAGCACAACACGTGACTACTATGCAAGATACATTTCATTCAATCACAAATACTGGACRMTAAAACTCGTGCTGTGATTGGCTAGTTTAGACATGCATTTCAACGACGAGAACAATGCAGTCTGTGTCGAGGTCTTGTACAGTACAATAAATCGTACTTACCTTGCATTTACAGACGTTACATTTATCTCTGTTCCACTGTTGTCCATCTCTGTATMCACGGCCGTCCATGACACAACCACTGCCACCGACAGATGGACATGCGCACTAAAACAAATTAAACACATTACTTCTATTATGAAATAACTTCACCGGAGGATGACCATCACTTGTTTTAGTCCTCCTCAGTCATACGAGACAGGAATCCCATACATTGGGAATTATTCCTACTTACCGGTTGAGGCGAGGCTGTTGGTGCGTTACAATTGCCAGATCCTAGAGATATCTTGACGTCTTGTAGAGTACCCTACAAATAAAGCAATACTGAGTTTGGAAGTTTMAATTTTCCTWAAGTGCAGTGCAACRCATCTCACCTCAAATCTGTTAGTAATTTCTGGTGTTCCTTCCATCCCGATCTCGTARGCCTGAGCTAAACGAAGCTGACTGTCKGATGGAATGGCTTTGATCTGATGGTCAAACTTCTTCACATCTACCATTGAATCATCAACGTAGAATCGAATCAGCTTCTCGGAGTCTTGAACGCGCATTGAAACCTTRTGCCAGATTGTTATGTCAGATTTTCGCGGGGTATTTGATATGAGGTTCTTCAGCATACCACYTTTTGATTGAAAGTAGAACTCGATTTTCAGTTGAGATGTTTTCCAGTCGCTCCTGTAAGACAATAATCAAAAGAAATATTATTCAAGTATCACAGTCGCGCGCAAGGAAGTCAGAAAGTTTGTGTCGAAGGCTGCAGAGTACTGTGTATTTTAAGAAACATTATGAAAGCCAATAGTAAACAACTTAAACAACCCAAATTCTATACAAAAATGGGTACGAAAAAAGGTAAGAAAGAAGCAAAAATAAACAATAAATAACAATAAAAATATTGAAATGAAACACAGCAAAAGGAGGATTATTAAACTGGGAGGGACGATGGACCAGCAGCTGCAGTAATGAAACAAATAAAAAATACGCGTTCAAATTTTCTAGGTTGAATATTTGAAGTACTTTCGAGTGAAAAAAAAAAAAAAATAAAAAAACCTGACAAAACTTTGTAGCGAAAAATGAGGTGAAAGAAACAAAGTATACAGTTCTTTCGTGTTGTTCTCTTCATTTTGTCCTTTTTTCAAACCATTTGAMGGCGGAAAATGCATGGATTTGCTGCATAAATCTTCTTTAAAAACAAACAAACACAGTATTATACTTACGATACGGCAAGTAGGAAGTATAGTGTATTCCCATCTGGAGAGTTTATCGACACAATTGTATTTTTGCTTAACGCGCTGCCTTTGTCAACCTTGATATACGCACTGACTATAAAATCGTGACTCTCGCCAATAATACGAATGGCGTCATTTAAGCCTTTCTTCCCAGCCAGGAGTTTTTGAACTTGACGATTGAACGTGAATGCTGGGGTTTTGCTGTGATGACCTGAACCCTTGGTAACCCCGGTTGGYAGAAGGACCATTGAGGTTAAACCAACTTCTTTGAAAAGTAAGACTTCTTTTGGTAAATCTAAGGTGATAAAAATAAGCCGTTTACAAGTAAGTTTTATACGCGGCATGAATCAACGCGCGTGGAATTTGGTAACAGGATGCGTTCTTCTGTGATTATTCCGGGTACTCCATGCTTCCTGAGAAACCATTGTTCCTTGAAGATCAGCTTAGACGCACAAGCTTACACAACGAAAATGGTTTCAGCAAAGCACTTTTGCAAGTAAACGATTCGAAAGAATCTCAACAGTTGGCGTTAAGAATGTGGATCACGCGACATGAGACACGCAAATCGTCTGGTGGGGATTGAGTGATGTCTGATGGYCATCAGCAATGCATCAGCCCAACCGACAGACTACGGTTGAAGCCTTATTAAGCAGTTTGATTCCTGAAGCCGTTTGATTCTCTGAGCGAGGACGCGACGCTTTTATTGTACGTTTTTTTTTCTTCTAGCGCTGAAGCCTAACTGAACTTTTTTTAACTCATTCTTTATTCAAAATCATCAAAATGATTTTGGTTGTGTTGCCACTCGAAAGGTCGTAGTCSTCGTAGAATCTTACCACAAATAGCTAGGAAAAGATTAGTCATTCGTCGTTTTCAAATCGCTGATAACACTGGATAACATTACTTTGAATGGTGATTATATGCGATAAATGGCGACATATGAAAAGAAAAACGTTTGCATGTATGACATGTTTACACGGAACATACACAGCACAGAACAACAATTGAGTGGTGAAATATTAGTATTTACGTACAGAAAACATCAAATATTAGTCCAATACAGTTCAAAGTGTATTTCACAACAACTATTTGAAGACTGAGTGCTAATTGATTTGAGGTTTGAAAATGTATTGTCTGATCAACCAAAATCACAACATCACGAGTATAAGCCATAGAACTCACCTGACGTAGTTCCATAGTTCAAGGAGAACGCAAATAGGACGGATAAAACAAGAAGCTTCATGTTTAGCTTAAGAGTACGTAGGTAGTCTTTACAAGTCCGCGCTGTGTTAATGAATCGTTGGAGTCAGTTAGCTAACTGATTTATACTCTCTCAGCAAGCTATTGAGTCCGGTGAGCAATGGGGGTGTGGCTCCATTATGATGACGCAAATGCCCATATTTATGAGTAGATTTTCTCCCGAACATTCCATGAATGTTTCTCAAYGACCTGATGATCCTCAAGAATCATAAGGAATCGTTTTTAAAATATGTCGTTTTTTATCTTTATTGGCCTTGACCTTAAGACAACTGAGATTGATGCCTATTCATTTAGATAAATATCATAAGATGAAAATGTTGTGTTGCGATAAATTCTATTAAAGGCTACGACCACAGGTTTTCAAAGAAAGACAATATAAACTAAAATGAAAAATAAGAAATGAGACAAATTAAATATCTTATAAAGCTGATGAAACGCTTAGTGATGGCCCCATCGTGTTTTTCCCATAAAGATGTTTGTATTGTATTTCTAACGTGATTTTATTTATTTTTTCTTTTTTACGTATTATAAGCAGTAACTGTTTTTCTCAGATGCCAGGAGTGCTATTGTTCTCTTGTACGTTTAAGGTTTAACAGATCTTACGTCTACGTGAGTTTTACGTCCAATCATGCATTCTATTAATAAACAGTTACAACTAAACTCTAAACTTGCACTTCCGGTATCAGTTTGGTTCAAGACCAGAGTCACTTCCGGTGATAAATTTCTCATTAACCGACTGTCGCACCCACCAACCGCAATACATCGTCACGTATAGCCAAAAATTTTTACCAAAATAGAGATCAAGTGGAGAAAACAATTTAATAGAGTCTAATAAGGATTGTCATCTTAGGGATCGTAATGTCTCACAACTGGGCCGTAAAACCCCATAGTGCTTGGACAAACCCCGTGATTCTTTCTGTCCATCCTCGGGTGAARAAGTGCATATTAAAGTATTTGCAAAAAAGGARCAAAAGGTTTAGTAYAAAAACAGTAATTGGTTGAACTGTTTTATCAGCTCAAACAAATATTTACTAAAGGAAGAAAATGTCAAAGAAACCACAGGAATCCCATGCTGAGGTGTTCAGTTTTCTCGGTGGCACAGTGAGATCAAAATAGTCACGCTTCAGCCCACTCAATGCGTATACGTGGGAAAACGCATATCAACGTGAAACTCAGAAGGCGAAGATTCTGAACTAAATTCGAATGCGTAAAAATACGCCGGAAAGCGGCCAGAGAACAGCATGATTTACGCAATTCGAATAGCGAGCATTCTTGCGTAAGTTAGCTACAAATTGTAGCCGGAAAGAGTTCCAGAGCACGTCATCTTACGTAAAAGTCACGGAAACKTCGATCTTACAACGTTCGTGTTACATTTCAAAGATTTTACGTAGTAGTTAAGAAAAGCTTGCTGTTATGGAATTTTATGGATGGTTAGGCAGGAAAACTGTACGTTGTAAGTACAAYATATGAATCACAGGAAGCYCAAGCAAATACTTTGAATTTATTATTTCATTCTTTTATGAAAAAATGCATCTATTTTAAAAACACACTCGCTGTGCTAAAAGTGGATGTTTTTATTGAAACTCATTACATCACAACAAGTGAGGAGTTCAAGTAATGTAATAATTTTCCTTTTGAAAAATACTATTAATAAAAATACTATTAATAAAAATATTGTAGCGACTGCAAAATACATCAGTCTATTAATAATTTACTTTAATTTACTGCAAAATACATCAGTCTATTAATAATTTACTATATATTTTAAAACAATGATAGAAAAATATTTGATCATTTCTGATCATGTTTGTGTCTGCTAGACTTCCTAAACCAGGAGAACATACCTTTTGATTCAGTTAGCTTAATTGATGTTTCTTCAAGCTCTAAGTGTGCAATATTAAGTTTTCGATTAAGTGTTTCAATGTCATTTTCATATTGGGTTTTCATTTGCTGGTGTTTCTCCTCAAGTTGGTTGTATCTCTGCTGCAAAGCTGCTAATTCCAGTTCTAAGTGCTCAGTTGGGTTGATTTTGTCTTCAAGTTCAAGCTTTAAATTCTTGATTTCTAAAATGTTAATCACAAAAYACAATGCAGATGTCTCTTTTCTTTCCAAAAAATAATGGGCTTCCKTTGTTGGATTGGCAAGAGAGGGAGACTGGTAACAAGSCAGTGAARAAARTYCCCTTTCTTCCCTTTGYTTCTAGAAGATGCCGTTTTAGGAGCCAGAGACAACAAATATGTTAAGTTGTCAACAGTTTCTAACATTCTTGTCGAMACATCAGGTTTTAAAGTAATRTTTCACCTACGTTTTTACAKTGTTAAAATTTATCTTTTTGCAGAACTACCGACATATGTTTATATCTAAGTTGTATATTTCCCTGTTTCAATATTTTTCGCTTAACTTTATTTACCTTCCTCATTCCATGGTACAATCTCTAATAACTCATGGGCAAGAAAAGCTTGAACTTTGGTCATCAACAGGGCTTTAATCAACATTTTCAAACCATTTTTCCTTCGTCTTAAAATCTTGATCAACTTTTCAGCTTTGTTCTTTCTTGTGTTTTTGTTTTGTACCTTCTCCATGTCTTCATCACTTAAAAYGTTCTCTTGGTASAGGTAGCTYAAGAGTGGYGTTGCTTCTAGGTTTTTGTCAAGACGGACATACATCTTCCTAATCACCTCTTGGTCTCTGGCATCCATTACTGAAAAGTATATGGCAAAAAATACATTATTTATTATATGGTTAAATTATAGTGTTTTACCAGAAACTAAAATACTTTTGTTTTCCATATTTTCACTAGTGAAGATATGAATAAATTATGCCCCAAAATGGTGGATGAAATTGTTTGCTGGTATTGCTTAAAATTAGCACTCATCTTTTGCCAGCTTTCCATACTTTTCTAAGTTTGACTATCATATAACACTAAAAATTCCTTATAAAGTATGCATACTCATGTAAGATTATAGTTTAAAAACGAGAGTGCCTTCAGCTGCAARCAAACAAACAAAAAAACAATTTMTTTCCTTATTTTTTAAAGAAAGTGAAATATCAAATGTCTTTTATATTAGAACGAAGTAGCAACAACTTTAATTGTTGGCAGCTGGTACTTAAGCTTATRCTTAAAAGTATAAGTACTGCTCAGCCACCTTACAAATGTGTTGTTCATAAAATATGTTGGTCATTACCGGACATTTATCAAGGCATATCAATTTAATA